AATGACATGGGAAAATACCCGAACAAAGCTGAATACCATACATGTAAGTACCCGTGAAAACTTAAGAAAACAAATTATATCTATATCTATATTTATTTTATTTATTTTATTTTATTTGATTTGTCAATTGTTTACAAGATAAGTATAAGTGTATACATAGTTATGAATACATGAAATGGGTACATATAAGAAAAATAAAAGAAAAATAAAAGAAACAATAGGACAGGGACGGTAGGCACGTTGGTGCGCTTATGCACGCCCCCTAGAGACCTCTTAGGAAAGGGGTGAGGTCAATAGTAGACAGTCTAAGGTTAAAGTTTTTGGGGTTTGGGGAAGATATAGATATATATCTATATCTATATCTAATCTATATGTATATCTATATGTATATCTATATCTGGCATTCAGCTTTGTTCGGGTAAGAAAACAAATATCTATATCTATATATATTGGGAAGTTGAGAACCTCTTCAAAGATGACTCATAATCAAATAAATAACCTCAAAGGAAATAAGCATCTCTTCTCAATACTTTCACTGTAAGGCTGGGCTCCCATTAACAGCATGTTAATGCAAAATTTGTTTTAACTGTAAGTTATTAAATAATCTAGAAAGAACCGCAGGGACTTGTCCAGCAAGTTGCCAAGAATCAACCTTCATTGAAAGGCTCTCACCCGCTTATAAAGAACTCAGTCAGACTGACAAAGAAAAAAAAAGATTTGAGCAGTTTCTGATTTGTATTCTAATTTTTTTTTTAAAAAAAATAATGTGCTGTTGCTATGCATCTTCATAATATACTGTAGTTAGAAACTTTGGATATCAAAATAAACCAGAAATAAGTCAGGAAGCTGTAAACAAATTATGTGTGTCTCTTTCTGCTTCACACATGGCTGCAACTATTCAGCCAATCACACATTGTAATTTGCATCCTAAAACTATGGTTTATTTCCGTCTCCTTTATTATAGGTCATTCTAAGCCAAGAACATACAAATCACATTATGGCTTGGTGTGATGTTTAAACTCGTTCACTATTTTTAGGGAGGGAAGGATTTGCATATCTTTACATGCCAGATTTGGTTCTCTGTGCATATAGTGATGAAATGCTGTCCACATAATGAACAGGGGAAAAAAAACAGTTTATCACTGCTAGCAAAGAGTCATACTATTGGCTTTAATGCAAAAATTAGTCTACATCTTTATACGGTTTAACAGAATAACAGAGTTGGAAAAGACCTTGGAGGTCTTCTAGTCCAACTCCCTACTTAAACAGGAAACCTTATACAATTTCAGAAAAATGGTTGTCCATTTTCTTTCTTAAGGAAAACACTGGAGGTTCTTAAAACCTTCCAGTGTTGGAGCATTTACAACTTCTGGAGGCAAGTTGTTCCACTGGTCAATTGTCCTCACTGTCAGGAAATTTCTCCTTAGTTCTAGGTTGCTTCTCTCCTTGATTAGTTTCCATCCATTGGTTCTTGTTTTGCCTTTTGGTGCTTTGGAGAATAGCTTGACTCCCTCTTCTTTGTGGCAGCCCCTGAGATATTGGAAGACTGCTATCATGTCACCCCTAGTCCTTCTTTTCATCAAACTAGACATACCCAATTCCAGCAGCTGTTCTTTATATCTTTTAGCCTCCAGCTCAATAATCATCTTTGTTGCTCTTCTTCACTCTTTCTAGAGTCTCAACATCTTTTTTACATCATGGCAACCAAAACTGGATGCAGTATTCCAAGTGTGGCCTTACCAAGGCATTATAAAGTGGTATTAACACTTCACGTGATCTTGATTCTATCCCTCTATCACAGGGGTCTTCAAACTTGACAGCTTTAAGACTTGTGGACTTCAACTCCCAGAATTCCCCCTCCAGTCATGTTAGTTCAGGAATTCTGGGAACTAAAGTCTGCAAGTCTTAAACTTTCCAAGTCGGAAGACCCTTGCTCTATCACATCACTTAATAGGCATCTCATAATAGCTGAGAATAAAACATACAGTTGATCCAAGACCTGGAAGCTGACTTACTTTCCAATGCGTCATCAATTTCTTCATCAATCTGCTTAAGTGTGCCATCTTTCATCAGTTTTTCAGTAAAAATTCTAGATGGAACCAATTCCCTCATGATTTCACCGTCTTCTTCAGATTTTGCCAGCCATTTTTCACATGGAAATGTGGTTTTCTCAGAACCCTAAAATCATGTGTTTTTTTTTTAAAAAAAGATAACTATCTTTAGTAGTGAAATTTTTTCAACCCTCAGGTTATATTCATTCTTAAGTTGAAAGAAAGTGCAACAAATAGAACAGCATGAATAAATTATATTTATTTCTAAAATGTGCGAGGCCATTTCTGTGGTGACACTCAGTGGGCTAGCAGCTTGTGCTGAGGGAAACAATTGGCTAGCTTTAGATGTTGTGTTCAGTTGGACTGTAGTTTTCTGGAATTTAGAAGAGCACATGTAAAAGGCCCACTGTAGTTTGCAAAACAATCTTATTTAGTATGATACATAAAGAAACTTCATAGCGGCTTATGCAGTAAACGAAGGGTCTTCAAACTTGGCGGCTTTAAGACTTGTGGACTTCAACTCCCAGAATTCCCCCTCCAGTCATGTTAGCTCAGGAATTCTGGGAGTTGAAGTCCACAGGTCTTCAACTTGCCAAATGTGAAGACTCTTGCAGTAAACCATGGTAAAGTAACCATTTTCTTCAGAAACTGTTTCCAATTCACATTTGAAGGTAATATACAGGAAGTCCTCGACTTACAACAGTTCGTTTAGTGACCATTCAAAATTAATATGTCACTGAAAAAAGTGACTTATTATGACCTTTTTTTTTCACACTTATGACCTTTGCAGCATCCCTATGGTTATGTGATCAAAATTCCAAAGCATGACAACTGATTCCTGTTTATGACGGTTTCAGTGTCCCTGGGCCGGTGATCCCCTTTTGTGACCTTCTGACAAGCAAAGTCAATGGGGAAACCAGATTCACTTAACGACTGTGATACGAACCTAACAACGGCAGTGATTTGCTTAAGAATTGTGGCAAGAAAGACTGTGGCAAGACAACTGTCTTGCTTAGCAACAGAAATTTTGGGCACCACTGTGGTAGTAAATTGAGGATTATCTGCACAGGGAGGTCTCCATTAGTGCAGCTAAGAATTCCACAGAACGGTTGCATGATTTGAATTTGCACTATGCTAATTGATATTTCTGTGGAAAATAAGGTGATTGGTTCAGCACCAGTGGTGGGATTCAAATTTTTTTTACTACCGGTTCTGTGTGTCAGGGCTCCAACAAATCCACCCTCATTCAAATCAAAAATCTCTAGCCGCATCTCAGAGAAAAGTAAATTGGCTTATTAGAAGTTGCCATGTTGGCGCGTGGCTGGGTGCAGCCGATACTAAATCACATCATACATTTCCCCCTTGACCCTGGTCTTCCCCCCCACCCCCTGGATGTGACTTCTCCAATGGGACACATCCGTCTCCAAGAGTCATCCATCATGCTCTCCAATAACCTTCTAATGCTCCGACAACTTTGGGCTGCCGAGGTGATTATCTAGGCATTTCAAGAATGCCTTGTTTTCCCCCACTGCCTTTTTCTGGCAGCTGAAAAGATCAAAAGAGTATCTTTTTAGTTGACACTGTGGGTGCAACATGGCTTGTTGGGCATGGCAGGGGAAGGATACTGTAAAATCTCCATTCCCACCCCACTCCAGGGGGAAAGTTACCACCGGTTCCTCGAACTACTCCAAATTTCCGCTACCAGTTCTCCAGAACTGGTCAGAACCTGCTGAATGCCACCTCTGTTCAGCACCACAAAAATAGGCAATTAAAATGCTTAAAATACAATTGTGATATGTTCATTAATGAAGTAACACAAAAAGAGGGTAAACCACACCCAAAGCATACCTGTTGTCTACTGTCCTCAACTTACGACCACAATTGAGCCCAGAATTTCTGTTTGCTAAGTAAAACCTTTGTCCCATTTTACAACTCTTCTTGTCACTGTTGTTAAGTGAATCACCGAAGCTGTTCAATTAGTAACACGGTTTGTTAAGTGAATCTGGCTTCCCCATTGACTTTGCTAGTCAGAAGGTCCCAAAAGGGGATCGTGTAACCCCGGGACACTGCAACCGCCATAAATGTAAGTCAGTTGCCAAGCACCTGAATTTTCATCATGGGACCACAGGGATTGTCAGCCCCGCTGGGTAGATAAGGCTTTGAACTGAAAAACCACAGTACTTACGATGGTAATTCGCAGTAACCAGGGTTTATTTCCTCAGTTCAGCTCACAACAGTCCCAAAAGACAACGCTGGATCAATTCCAAGTGAACCTAACGCTGATAGCAACTGCCTCTCGGTGCTTATTATAGCCTGTCAACCCCACCCAGCTGACCTACACCCGTCCATTACAATCCTCACCTTCACTCCGCATCTACTTACACCTAACGTCAACAAACCCATCACCTACAACCCCCACCACCCGGAAAGCCCAGTTAGGAGTTTCATTGCTCTAACATGGCAGAATAGCAGACATGTCCATGGCCACCGATCCTCTCTGCACGTTGTCAATCATCTCTCTGCATTGAACAGCTGGTGGCTGTTCCCCCAGGTGGCAAGCAAGGAGAAGACACAAGGACAAGCATGCCTGATTGTGGGGCTCCGAGAACATCTCCACCGTGCGCCCGACGGGGATGCTGCAATGGTCGTAAGTGTGAAAGACAGTCATAAGTCACTTTTTTGGGGTGCTGTTGTATCTATGAACGGTCACTAAATGAATTGTTGTAGGTCTACCTGTATTCCGCTCTTATTCTTCAAAAAATTTTACTGAGCTTTTCTTGAATAGAACTTTCCTTGTCTCCATAGCGCACAAATAACGATTAATGTCTAACATCCTATTTACAATGGTGTATACACGAGCCAATATCACACGTGTGCTAGCTAGCCTTATAATTGAATTTTGGCTTATATTAAACAGGGCCTGTTATCAACCTACGAACTTACACTAAATAGTAGTTCATACTATTAAATTTGCGTTCTTGTGACTTATGTGTACAATAAATGCACCATCCATGGTGAACATCACTTGGTTATAATTTCAGTAGGATATTAAAGAGGGAGATAATTGGCCACAGGTAAGGCTGGGAAAATTCCGACTACTCATCAGCAGGCATTAAAAGGATAAAAGATGAATCTATAAAATTGTTCTCCAATTTCTGCTATCCTGTATCGTCGCACACATCTCCTGCTGGTAGGAAAATCAGTTGATTCATAAGGGAGAGATCTCATGAACCTGGCAGATGTTAAAACATGATGTCTGTCTAGTTTGATGAAAAGAAGGACTAGGAGTGACATGATAGCAGTGTTCCAATGTCTCAGGGGCTGCCACAAAGAAGAGGGAGTCAAGCTATTTTCCAAAGCAACCTGAGGGCAGGACAAGAAGCAATTGGAAGGAAACTAATTAAGGATTATATAATATGGAACACATTTTATCAATGGTTAGAGAATAAAAAAGGAAGCTAAAAATGAAGAAGAATAAAGGAGATTAGAAAATAAGATAAGATAGAGAGATATACGAGATGATAATTGTTAATTCAACTATGATGAGAATAATGAAATGTAAGGTCAATAAGGTACGATCACCAGAAGGGTTGTAAATGTTTAACTGTTAGATGTATTTTAATTCAAAGTTTGGGAAATAACATCAAGGTAAATATGAATGTTCTAAATGGTAAAATGGTGAAAAATGTAGCACAAAGACATTTATACCCACACTGCTTGAGGGAAAAAAAAAATGAAATGTTTGGATTTTTGAAACTGAAGAATAAAAAAATATTACTATATAGAAAAAAAAGAGAGAGAGATCCATCCTAGAACTAAGGAGACATTTCCTGACAGTCAGAACAATTAATCCATGGAACAACTTGAAGTTGTGAGTGCTCCAACACTGGAAGATTTTAAGAAGAGATTTAGACAACCATTTGCCTAAAATGATATATAGGGATTTAGAAGATCTCTAGGATCCCTTCCAATTCTGTAATTCAGTTATCATCTCCAGGACTGGGGTGTCCATGATATTAGTATAGATATAGAGCAGGGGTCTCCAACCTTGGCAACTTTAAGCCTGGCGGACTTCAACTCTCAGAATTTCCCAGCCAGCAAAGCTGGCTGGGGAATTCTGGGAGTTGAAGTCCTCCAGGCTTCAAGTTGCCAAGGTTGGAGACCCCTGATATAGCGCATTTCCATTCTGAGAGGAGACTTTGTTCTCCTCTAGGAAATATTGGTGCTTTCTTCCATCAGAATCACCATATTCCCATTCCAGATTTCCCCCTTCTTGTGCGTTTGATCTGAATAAAGCAGGATCGACTCAAACGCTCCAATATGCCTCTCTCTGCAGCCGTACTCATTAGTGGCAGAGAGAAATGTGGCTTTCGCCCTCTGTAGTGCATGCGGTTCCTCCTGCCAGATGCTTTCAATTTAATCTGACCTCATCTCTCCCCCCCCCGCCCCCAACCCCACGCAGACACATTGACATGCCTGTTCACAATCTAATCAGGTAGCACCAATTTTAGAGGCCTTGGCAGCCGAGCGCTGACCGGTTGTAATATCCTGTGGCGTGATTATGACACCATTGTGCAGCATTTGGGCTTCTCTTTCTCTCTCTCTCTTCCCCTTCCGTCGCATGCTTAAATCACAAAGTTCAGACAGATTAGGCGTAGCTAATAGCAACATTCAGTTTCATCCTGATTAATGAGGGCTTTTTTTTTTTTTAGCGAAAGAGTCCGGCAGGAGGGGTTGCAGAGGAAATGGAGGTTGGCTAGTGGCCATGAGCAGCTGTCCAGGGTCCTGAAATTAATCTGCCCACAAGGGAAGACATCAGCAGTTTACAGATACAAAAATCTTATTACTTCTAATCCTGGAAGAGCAGAATAATAGAGTTGGAAGGGACCTTTGGAGGTCTACTAGTCCAACCCCCTGTCCAATCAGGAGACCCTATACTATTCTAGACAAGTGACTATCCACATTCTTTAAAAGCCTCCGGTGATGGAGCACCTACAACTTCTGAAGGCACGAATTGCTCCCTCTATCAGGAAGACTCTCCTTAGTTCTAGGTTGCTTCTCTCCTTGATTAATTTCCATTTGTTGTGTCTTGTCTTTGAAACAGTAGGTTGACCACCTCTACCTGGCTTAGCAGTAGTAACTGAAAGAGGGATCTTGGAGTCCTACTGGACAATCATTTGAATATGAGCCAGCAATGTGAAGCAGCTGCTTTAAGCAGCTGCTTAAGAAGCCAACAGAGTCCTAGGGATAGAATCAAGATCAGGTGAAGTGTTAATACCACTTTATAAGGCCTTGATAAGACCACACTTGGAATATCACATCCAGTTTGGGTTGCTATGATGTAAAACTGAAGTTGTGACTCTACAAAGAGTGCGGAGAAGAGCAACAAAGATGATTAGGGGACCGGACGGTAAAACATATCAAGAACAGTTGCAGGAATTGGGTATGCCTGGTTTAATGAAAAGAAGGACTGGGGGATAGAATTGCAGTCTTCCAATATCTCAGGGGCTGCCACAAAGAACAGGGGGTCTGTCAGAGCATATTCATGAACTGGTATAGAGCATGGTAACAAGATCAACCAATGAATAGGCATAGCAACTAAGTCAGCCAATGAGAACTGTTTGGAAACTGAAAGTAGGAGTAGCCTAGGAAACTGCAACTACAAGAAACTAATCAAGGAGAGAACCAACCTAGAAATTAGGATGACATTCCTGACAGTGAGAACAATTAATCAATGGAACAACTTGCCCCCAGTCAATATTGGAGGTTTTTAAGAAGAGATTGGATAACTATTTGTCTGAAATTGTATACATTTCCTTCCTGGGCAGGGGATTGGACTAGAAGATCTTCAAGGTCCCTTCCAACTCTGTTATCTTTTATGGCAGGCCCTCAACTATTGGAAGACTGCTATCATATCACCCCCAGTTCTTTTTTTCATTAAACTAGACATGCCCAGTTCCTGCAACCATTCATTGTTATGTTTTAGCCTCCAGTCCCTTCATCCTCTTCTCTGCACTCTTTCTAGAGTTTCAACAACCTTTTTATATTGTGGTGACCAAAAGCACCTACATTTCTTTCTTACAGATCACAGCGGAGAGAAGCAGTTAACTGACTCTGGAGAACCCCACATAATGCTAATCAGATCACCCCAAGCCGAGAATCTATTTGGAAATCTAGGAACTGTAGAGTAGTCTAGGATGTTTGAAGTTGGAAAACTTCCTAGGGTGACGACTATGGGAAATCATTTCCATACTGTCCCAAAGGTGCTTTTTCTGGAGGCAGCTGGACTTTCTCATTTTTTCCTTTGAAGACATTTCACTTCTCATCCAAGAAGCTTCTTCAGGATGGAAGGATTTATATTCCTTGCAGACAGCTGATCAGATGCATCCTTTTAGAGCAGAGGTCTTCAAACTTGACAGCTTTAAGACTTGTGGGCTTCAACTCCCAGAATTCCTCCTCCCATCATGTTAGCTCAGAAATTCTGGGAGTTGAAGTCCACAAATCTTAAACTTGCCAAGTTTGAAGACCCTTGTTTTAGAGGGTCCTTGAAGCGCTTGGAGAATGGTTTATCTGTGTCCTCAGGGTGACCCTGGTTCCTGTAGTCGGCAATTTTTCATCTGGAAAACTATTCCTACTCCCACACCATGCAAAGGGTGTTCATCCCAAATTCTATAGCTAAGTCTGTAGAGATTCTCAGTCATCCAGGTCATAGTTGTCTCTATCAACTAAAAAGATACTCCTTTGGTCTTTTTAGCTGCCAGAAAAAGGGAGTGGGGAAAAACAAGGCATTCCTCAAATGCCTAGATAATCACCCCGGCAGCCCAAAGTTGTTGGGGCGTAAGAAGATTATTGGAGAGCATGATGGAGGACTCTTGGAGATAGATGAGTCCCATTGAAGAAGTCACATCCAGGGGGTGGGGGGAAGACCACAGTCAAGAGGGAAATGTATGATGTAATTTAGTACCGGCTACACCCAGCTAACGCCAACATGGCCATTTCTAATAATTCAATTTTCTTTTCTCTGAGATGCGGCTAGAGACTTTTGATTTGAATGAGACTGGATTTGTTGGAGCCCTGACAGTCTCAAAGGTGCTTTTTCAGATTACCAACTGCCTGCAAGGAATATACATCCTTCCATTCTTCGCTATCCTGTCAGAGCTGAAGAGGCTTCTTGGATGCAAAACATGTTCAAAAGAAAAAAAAAACCAGAAAGTCCAGTTGCCTTCACCTCTGGGACAACCATGACCTGGATGACTGAGAATCTCTACAGACTTTGAGCTATACAATTTGGGATGGAAACCCTTGGGTTGGTGTGGGAGGAGGAATGGATTTCCAGAGGAAAGATTGCAGACTACAAGAACCAGGAGCACTGCTCAGGTGGACCCTGATGACACCGATAAACCTCCAAGTAGCCTCAATGACTTGGTAAAAAGAATACAAATGACAAGCTGTCTGCAAGAAATATAAATCCTTGTCGGAGCTGAAGCTTCTTGGGTGAGAAGAAAAAAGAAAAGAAAACAAGGAAGTCCAATTGCCTCCTGAAAAAAGTACCTTTGGAACAACCATGACTTGAATGACGGAGAATCTCTACAGTCATTTCCCTTATTGTTGCCAAGAAGACTCTTTATAGCTATCATAAAAGTGGCCAATGATGAAACCAACGGTTGAGACCGAAGATGGATTTATTGTTCCTTTTTCGGTACACTTTTCTACTTCCACTTGGAGAAAGAAAATACTTATGGTTGCTATTAGTGTTGTATAATTATCGCTATCGCAAGAAAAGGACTGAGAACCAATTGGCGGTGATGGTGGTGGGGAAATGCTGCGATTATCAAGGGAAGGGGTCTTCTCAAATATAATTTGAGATAAAAGCCTCCCTGGGCCTTCTCTAGCATCTGTTGTGACAAAAAGGCTTGGCTGCAGATTCCATCCTCACTTTCTGTGATTTCCTTCTCGTTTATTCCTGCTTTGGTATCAAGGCAAGCATTTTTCCCCCACGTACATTTTTTTGAGCATCTCTTTCTTTCCATCTAATCCTCCCCTCCAGCCTGCCCTCTCTGCCTTGGAAGCCATATTTCAAGGCTGCCACATTTGGTGCTTGGGAATTTGGGAGGGGGCATTTACAGATTACAGATAATTACGGAGCTGGAAAGGAGCTTGTAGGTCATCTAGTCCAACCCCCCCTCCCACCCAAGCGGGAGACCCTACACCATTTCTGACAAATGGCAGTCCAATCTCTTCTTGAAAGTCTCAAGTGATGGCGCTCTCACAACTTCTGAGGGCAACTTCTGTTCCATTGGTTGATTGTTCTCACTGTCAGAAAGTTTCTCCTTATTTCCTGGTTGAGTCTCTCCTTGTTCAGTTTCCATTCATTGTTCCTTGTCTGGCCTTCAGGTGCTTTGGAAAATAGCTTGACCCCACCCCCCACTCCTCTCTGTGGCAGCCCCTCAAATATTGGAAGACTGCTATCCTGTCTCCCCTGATCCTTCTCTTCCCTAGACTAGTCATGCCCAGTTCCCGCAACCCTTCTTCATATGTTTTAGTCTCCAGTTCCCTAATCATCTTGGTTGCTCTTCTCTGTACTTTTTTTAGAGCCTTGGCATCTTTGTTATAGTGTGCTGACCACATCACATTATAGAATAAAACAGAACAGAAAAGAACAGAACAGAATGCAAGGCGAGGCAAGGCGAGGCAAGGCAACACAACACAACACAACACAATAACAGAGTTGGAAGGGACCTTGGAGGTCTTCTGGTCCAACCTCTTGCTTAGACAGGAAACTCTATACCATTTCAGACAAATGGTTATCCAATCTTTTCTTTAAAACTTCCAGTATTGAAGAATTCACAACTTCTGGAGGCAAGTTTTCCATTGATTAACTCTCCTCACTGTCAAGAAATTTCTCCTAAGTTCTGGGTTGCTTCTCTCCTTGACTAGTTTCCATCCTTGTCCTGCCCTCAGGTGCTTTGGAGAATAGCTTGACTCCCTCTTCTTTGTGGCAGCCCCTGAGATACCAGAACACTGCTATCATGTCTCCCTTGGTCCTTCTCTTCACTAGACTAGCCATGCCCAGTTCCTGCAACCGTTCATCTTCATCATATGTTTTAGCCTCCAGTCCCCTAATCATCTTGGTTGCTCTTCTCTACACTCTTTCTAGAGTCTCAACATGTTTTTTTTTTACATAAAGTGACAGTTATTCTTGGAGATATATCTGTCTTCAGCATGCGGATAAAGCAACTGCTGAGGCTAGTAAACTGAAGGCCGTAAGAAGCCAACTGTGCATAATGCATGCCAACACAATCTCATTTGTTCCAGGGAGGGAAGAAAGATGCTGTCACACTTATCTCAGCCTCCCTTGATGGAGCTGCTGGCTCCATTCCATTCATTGACAGCCGCTGATTTCTCAATCTGCTGCAAGTTTATTATGTGGCTCTGCTGAGGCAATGTAGTATCTGGAGCTCCTAAAGTGCCTGCA